GCTGGTTCAAGGGAGCAAGATGGACAGTCTTCTCCCGTAAAGACTTACGGCCTTAGAAAGCCAATGGAAAGTTGTTAGGGTCAGAACAACTCAATGACAGTATTTTCTGTTTAAAGCAACTAATACTCAGAATATATAAAGAACTCTTGCAACTCAAAAATAAAGACAAAATAGCCCAATTTGCAAGCAGGAGGAAGCCAGTAATTTGGACAGACTTTTCTCCAGAGAAATTGTTCCAACATCAAATAAGCGTAAAAGGGCCTCTCAGCTGTCCTGACCTAAGTGAGAACACCGAGGGGAGAGAGGGCTGGGCAGCCTCCAGGTGTGCAGCCAACGAGAGCTTCTCCACGGAAATACCGTTACCGAGACATAGGACGGGCATGCAAAGAGGGTGAGAATGAAGGGAACTGCTTAACTTGCTAATAATGTAAATAAGGTCTGTGGCCCCTTGAGAATGTCTAATTGTGGAAATAGGGTGCAGGAAACCCTGACACACCCTCGTCAACTGTGCCATCCCACTTGGGTTAAAGTGAGCACTGCAGAGGTAGAAAGGACCTCGCTACCATCAGGAAGGAGGAGCCAGGAGAGGAGGGCATCCTTTGGACTTGAGATCCTTGCTGTAAATCTCAACTCAGGACGGAGAGAAAAATGCAACACTTTCCTGAGAGGACAAGAAATGACAGCGACAGAAATGGTGCCAGCAGAACCAGGAAATCGGCACGGTGGGCCCGTGGAGAGTGACAGCTGAACCTCTACTGGCAGAAGGCTTACTGGGAGAGAGGGAGAGGACTGCCTCCAGTCACATATTGGTGCTGGTTTGCTGAAGCCCTAAGCTGGAGCGACGTGTCTCAGCTGAGGCTTTCTGGCAGTGTGATACCTGTGGGCATGGCACTGACCTGGGCAGAGCTAAGAGTCTGTAACACTTGTGCAGACAGAAGCCAAGGAGTCTCAGGGCTGAGAACAAGATATACTATATCCCGTGTTGTTTCCAGTCTGTAACCTCTTACTTCCCTTATGAACCCCATAATCTCAAAGGGAACAACAAAGATAGGAACCAGGGAAATCACGAAAATTCAGATGTTAAACTCCAGGAATCTAAAGACCATGCAAGTGTCAGGATGTAAGAGGAAGCTAGCGAGTTCCACACCAACAGCAGGACTTGACCAGGAAAGGCCAGCAGAGGGAGAAGGAGCTGGGGGTGAGAGGGTTCAAACTCCAGCAGCAGTGACAGTGACCAGGAAGAGGCCGGCAGGAGACAGAGCTGGGGGTGAGGGTCTTGAGGACTCTGCTGAGATGTGGATGTTGAGTGCTGAGGAAAGACACTGATGATTTACCCAGATCAGTGAAAAGTCAGAGACGTTTTCTGAAGCCTGATCCGTCTGAGAGGAAAGCAAGCTCTGGGCCTGCAGTGAGCAAATGACCCTCGTGTCACAGGCGTGTCCCTAGTGCAGGAAGATGCTCTCACCTCAGGGACTGTGAGCTGGATGAAGTTGATTGTCAAAGGGAGAGATGACAAGGTTTGGGATGATGATGAGAGGACAAGAGACAAGACAGTCGTAGGTCACCCAGTCTGAGTGACGCAGCAGCACCTGTCACCGTGCTGAGACATGGCGGGCAGACAGCGAGGGAGGGAATCCGAGTCAGACAGCTAAAGCTCAAGCCCATCAGAGCTGACCACCAGCAGCATCAAGGTTCACCCAAGAGCAGAGAGCGGCAAACCATGGCAGGGAGCCCAGGACACCAGCCCGAGGAGTGAAGGACCACGGAGCGGGGCGGAGGGCACTGTGCACACCAGGTCAAGTATTTACTCCCTTCCTAACCCGCCGGCTCTGGAGACTAGGAATATACTCAATAAACTCCTGATCTCCTTCTGAAAAATATCAATGTTGGTGAAAGCCTGAAGCATCTAGGAATTGCAAGAAATAAAGAAACACTGCAGCATTAAGACTAATCATCTTTGCCTTTGATTTCTGGGTAATTCAGAATGAGTCACTGTTCTTTTAAAAAATAAGAGTAAGAATTCCAAAAATTAAGATTTCTTTTCAAGAGGAGCAGTAGCCTAAGATAAAGACATTGAATAACTGGCCCAATTTTACAGAACAAGGCAAAGAGGCACATTAAATAGTGAATATGGTGTATCTGGACGTGATGACATTAACACGTGGTCACAATGACAAGCAAGCTCCTCCATTATCACTAAATTGTGAAGATGCAAAACAATATGAAATTCCCAACACAGGGTGATTCTTTTCCTGCATTCCCACACTGGACGGAGCACTGAACTATCCCCGGCTTCTCCCCAGCGATCTGCCTTCACCTGACAAACATTTCAGGAGAAATGTACATTCCACGGGGAATGGGACAGATTCAAACAGGACACGGCTCAGCCACCTGCCAGACCTGCTACACATGACCCGGTTAGACCTGGTGACAGCCTGCGTAGAAGACGGGAAGGACACCTCTGAAGAAAAGCCATCGCCCCCCAGCCCTGCTGTGGCTGTATCTCCCCCCACGCCCTCCTCTGCAGCGCCCCCAGCACCCTCCAGCCTGGACACCACGTGCCTCACAATGACGTCCAGTGTGCCCCTAACAGAGCAGCAGCCTGGAGCCTTGGGCGACCCCTCCACTGCAGCCCAGGCACATGATGCCAGTTATCCTCTGAACACCGGCAGAAGCGCTGCAGAACCTTTCCAAAGAGCCCAAAGCACTGCTCGAGAGGGTAAAGCCTTCTGCGGCTCTCCTGGCCCGGCTACTCCCCCCGGACCCTCTCACGTCTGAGTCCTCTAAACAACTGGGTTGCGCTGCTGCCTCCAGCCCCACCTGCCCCTGCACCCCCACTGCCCTCGTCCAGCCCCACCTGCCCGTGTCCTCACTGCCCTCCTCCATGTCCATCTGCCCCCATGCCCCCACTGGCCTCGTCAAGCCCCGTTTGCCCCTGTGCCCTCACTGGCCTCTGCCATGACCATCTCCCTCTTGCACCCACACCATCTCCCTCCTCTCCTCTCTCCAACCCTACCCACCTCACCCAGCCACCTCTAACACCTACATTTAGAGAGAAACACCTGGCCATGCCAGTCCAGACACTGTCCCTTCTCTAAAGTCAGTGTGGCTCTGTCATCAGTCTCAACATGTCCTTTAACCTTTCATGAGCCACCTTCAACCTCTGGGATACTCCACCAGCCAGGCCTTGCACTGGGTGTCAGTGAGTAGCAAGAAATACTGGATGCTCGTGATACCTGTCATGTCACAGGATAGGTGACCTCAGCCGTGAGAAACTGAGGGCAGAGCTATGAGCACTGACCAAGAGGGGAAGTAGCCAAATGGGGCCAGGCAGGGGCACAGAGGGGCACTGTGGGACAGCAGGGTCATTCTAAACAACTCTGTTTGCCTACTTTATTATCTCTCTTCTAAAATACAAAAATAGAATATTGTCTACAACTTTAAAAAAAAAAAGACAAAGGACCCCGGGCCCAGGAGTGTGAGAGAGGAGAGCGAGGCCGATAACCAGGCTGGAGAGGGTCTCAGATGCCAGGGTGAGCAGCATTTGTCTCTGTTTATGCACAACATAAAAAACATCATAGGAAACGGATCTGAGCAAGTGCAGTGGCAAGAGAGGAGGGTCGACTCACAGAGCATCAAAGAAAAGGCTTTTAGCATGAGTGCTGGGCGAAGGTGAGAGGAGGATCTGCAGGACTAAGAGGTGACTCGTGGGATCCTGGAAGAGAACAGAGCCTTCCAGAATGGCAGGCAGCCTCAGTAGTGCTACTGTGTGGGTGTTGACACCTTTCACAACAGAGGAGACTGGGCAGGTGAACAAGGATGGCCGACAACCACATAATGCGGTTCAGGTGGGGAGTGAGGTGTGAGGGTGGGAAGACACGACCACAGACCAGGGTCATATCCTCACTGTAGTTCAGGTGGGAGTGAAGTGTGAGGGTGGGAAGACACGACCACAGACCAGGGTCACATCCTCACTGAGGTTCAGGTGGGAGTGAGGCGTTAGGGTGAAAAGACACGGTCACCGACCACGGTCACATCCTCCCTGAGCCAAAAAGCCCAAGGCCTCCACGTGTCCACAGACTCATAAGAGACAGAAGGTTCACAGCAAACCACGGCTTCATCTCTGCAGACACTGCAGACATGTCCCCCAAGAGGAAAGCAGCAGCACGCAGGGAGACAGTTTCCTATAGTGAGGGGAGATCCGGACAGGTGATTCCACCTGCTCAGACACAGGTGCCGTGCTGCCAAGCGGCTGGACTGGAGGACATCGGCATGCAGGTATAGGCCCGTGACACAAGGTCATCACTTCCATGGCCACACAGGTCCGCCTCAGTCAGACCACACATCAAACAGAAACCAGCAGTAGATGAACGGAACTGTCCCCTGAACACCCAGCCACACTGCCCAGAAATGAAAGCCACGATCTATCAGACAATGCGGCAGACAGGAGACGGAAAGCAGGTAAAGCTTCCATCACCCAGAAACAGAAGCCGAGGACCCCAGTCCTGTGAGCATCAGTGCGCACGCAGCCAGCATCCTCATCCGCCCACCTCTGCCCTGCAGTCCGTCTACTGCCCTTTGCTTTACTGTGCTCTGCAGATGCCTTACAGACGGCAAGTCTGTGGCAACTCTGCGCATCTACCGGTGCGTCCTCCCAGCACCAGGCGGTCACTTCATGTCTTCCGACACATGTTGGTAAGCCTCTCAGTCTTCCAACTCTTTCATAATGTTATTACACACATACTACACTACCACATAGTATAAACAAAGCCTTTAAATGTACTGGGAAACCAGATAACTGCCACGTTCGCATCACTGCAGCTGTCTAGAACCGTGCCCACAGCATCCAGGAGTTCTGCCTGCACACAGCAGAGCACAGGCAGCTGAGGCGAGCCACTGACAGGTGAGGTCCAGGCAGAGAACAGCACGCATCAGGAACGGTGACTGAGGCACTGTCTGTGGGGAACAGAAGTGCTCATTCAAACAGGCAAAGGGCTCACCATCGCTGAGGTCTTGGAGAAGATTCTCCTGGCAAGAGAAATCCAGCTTCACTTTGATGTTGACGGTGAACGTGGCCGTCTTGCCCGGCTGCAGGGGAAACTGGGCCAGGGTCTCCTCCAGCTTCCAGCTCAGGAAGTCCCCGTACAGTTTTTCTGCAAGGAAAGTAGTAGAGACAATCATGACGATGGGACTGAGGCAGTAAGGCCTCTCCTTCCCTTTCCACCAACTCATTATGGTAAAAAAGCCACTCGTTTGCACACCAACAATGTCGATGCAGCAGCTGCAAACACGAAGAGTGATGCTGGCTGTGAGGGGCTGAGCACTGACGGCCATTCGGCAGTCGTGGAATCTGGCAGTCACGTCATGATGGAGCCCCCTCCACTCAGCATCATGTCAAGCCTCACATAAAGGCCTTGTCTTTGGAAACTACGCTGCTATTAACAGGAGGGTGTGTGTGAAGAGTAAATGATGGGGTATTCACTAGTAAACCCCTAGTCAATACTACTTGTTATCAAAAGAAACGTGGAAAGCCTTCAAACATCCAGAAGTAAGAGGGACTGAAAGGTAATCAGCTCTTTTTATAAGTTTTCCTGTTTATGAAGAGGTGAAGCGGACCAGCTGCTTGTGCCATTCCAAATCCCATCAGGTCAAACCAAGCCGATCTGCAATACGTATCGTCTATGCCACACTATTCTCTGTACTATTACCTATGTGTTTTCTCAAACCCTGACAGGGCCACCTTACCTGACTGGAGGGACTCTTCAGGAAAACAAGACCCCAGGACTCAGTACAGGCGCCTCTGGGGAGGTCTGGGGGGCTCCTGTCCCCTAAGCCTCTGTACGAGCACCTGTGCACGGGCCTGCCACCTCCCCACGCTCCTGACACCAACTAGCGTCCAGAGAGGGCAATGCACTGCGTCAACAAGGAGAAAGCAGCGCTTCCCCACAACACTGCTTTAGCGTTACACATGTCACGTGGGCTCATACTGAGAAGACCACGGCATCAGGAAGGTCAAGGTCAGGCTTCTGCGAGGGGAGCGGGGAGACGGTGCCGTGAGGGAATCTGCTGCTCCACAACCCTGGTGTCGCTCAGCTTAAAGCACTCAGCTGCACAAGCCAACCTACCGTTGACTGAGCGGCACTTACTCAAGACCCATGAGGCCGCGCAATAAACCTGCTGGGCTCCCAGCACGCGTCCTTTCCACCGCACCAGGCTGGGCGGCACGGTGCCTAAGACGCTGGACGCTCTCCTACAGGCCTCTGACGCTCATCCACCTGTCAGTCCACGGGAGAAAGACACGCAGCCTCCTCCCATCAAGGTCTGTGGTCTCTGAACCCGACGGAGGGCCATACCAGTCCCCTGAACCTGACGGAGGGCCACTCCAGTCCCCTGAACCTGACGGAGGACCTCTCCAGTCCCCTGAACCCGACGGAGGGCCACTCCAGCCCCCTGAACCCGACGGAGGGCCACTCCAGCCCCCTGAACCCGACGGAGGACCTCTCCAGTCCCCTGAACCCGACGGAGGGCCACGCCAGTCCCCTGAACCCGACGGAGGGCCACTCCAGCCCCCTGAACCCGACGGAGGACCTCTCCAGTCCCCTGAACTCGATGGAGGACCTCTCCAGTCCCCTGAACTCGATGGAGGGCCACTCCAATCAGAGCCGACAAGACAGGAGTGAGGGTTCCACAGGTTGGCAGGGGGCTGTGCAACAGAAACAACACTCAGACGTAACTGGTACCAGCAACAGGGACAGAGAAAACCCCCAAGAGGGCCACTGGCCAGGACCCTGAAATGCACGGAGAGCACTGCACAAGGGGGACCTGAACTCAGCCACCCGGCCATGCCCACTATCGCCTGAAAGACCACCTGCTGAACAAGGGCACACACGAGGCCTGTGCCCCCAAAGCCAGCAGGTCCACATCCTGCATACATGGACTGACTTCAACCGTGATGCCTCTGTACCACGTTCCGTGGCCCACAATGTGCTCTCTGTAGCACCATGAAGGCTGCTGAGGCCCTGAAACCACTACCTGGTGTCATCTTTAAACTATAGCACAAAGAATCGCCTGGAGCCTTCTAACTAAACAGCAGCTTCGTTCACTGGTCAAAAATGCCCGCCTGAAGAACTGTTCCCTTTGAAGAACTATCTAGAAGCAACCAAAGTGGCAATGGTGCCTGCAGAGGTGAGACCGGAACCTTACGGGAACGGGAGGAGTCAGTCGTTCAGAAAAGAGCGATGAGAAAACACATACAGCTTGAGCACTGGGACTGCACGGCACAGAGCGCTCACCGGGTTGGTAACCTGAACACTGGAATCAGATGGCACTACAGAGCGCTGACAGGCCTGGGAAACTGGCATGCTGTGGGTATTCTCAACAAAAGACAACAGAAATAGCGATGAAAAACTTGGCAGAGGCAAAGTCACTCACAAGCTGATAGCTCTCTAATGTCAGAAAAATCAAAGTATTTCTATGCAAAGAAGAACTCTGAGGAAATTTGTGATGCCGTGAGCATGCTTGGGCTGTGACACCACAGAAAATGGAATGGCCTGGCTGTCAGAGTCAAGCTCATTCTCACCGCTCAAAGGGGTCTTTCTGGTCCACTTCCCCCCATCACTATGGAGTGCAGAGCAGGCTGTCTGCAGCTTTTCAAAACCAGAGGCAATGATGGGCTGTCAGCAGGACCAAGCCAACCCTAAGTCAACTCTGTGACAAGCACCAGTGATGCCTCCCCCGCCTGTTCAGCTTCCCAACAATAGTCATTATTTAACGCTAGTGTTTATTTTAGGCTGACCAAGTGAAACAGAATTTTATGTTGAAGAGACAAAAATTGCTACTGCCGCTGACCTTCTGAATTGGAGAAGCTTCCAATCTGCTCTTATCTGTAATGACTCTCACTACATCGCTCATGAGAAAAATCTGCAGTAAGGAGAATCTCTCTTCAAACAAGCAATGGACAGATTGTAAACAATCCTAAGATCGAGGCATTACGCTTCGTAAAAGCATCACAGCAGAGGTGAGAGTGCCATGCGGCCAAGCGGCTGAAAGCTCTGTCTGACGTCTCACACACCAGTGGTCACGGGGCAGGTTTCAGCAGACACAAACAGACTAGGAAGAAAGGCCTGGCACTGTACTCCCAAGAGCCAGCCCGTGAGAACTCCTGGATAAATATGAACAATGATGGATGGTGACAGTGCAGGATGAGGGAAGGTCTGCTTCTGTTACACAGAGGGCCGTATGGACTGGAGAAGCCCAGGACAACAGCAGCACGAGTGCTGGTCCATACAGGTGCCTGTGCGTGTGAACACTCACTAGTCCAGGTGAAGAGTAAACACTGTCGACTTTATTTGGACTTTATTAATAAAACAAAATACATAAGTAAGAAAGAAGTTAACATCTAGTAGAATCTAAAAATATGGTTTGCTTACCAATAAACTGGAATGACAGTGACCATGGGACCAATGGAAAGAACTCACTGCAATCAATGCTGATTCCTGGGCCGCTAGGGCTTCCAAGGCTGTAACTCCTCATGGAAGCAAGCTGCTACATCTGTCCCTCAAGAAGCCGTAGAAGGTTCACTGCCAAATGCGTTCACCACCGTGCCACCACTGGCGGACACAGTCCTGGCCTTGATGGGTTACAGATGCTCACACCACCAGACGCTCGCTCGTGGGCTGAGGGCACACTTGCTACGTGAAGCCCCAAACACTGAAGTTTGGCTCCTGAGACATCGAGCTTGACTCCAGCTGAGTGCTGACACGTCTAACAGGGCAGTGGATAAGAGACACAGCCCACAGGACCAGGAAGACAGAAAGGCTACGAGGATGAGAGGACAGGACAATACACCGGTCTTCATCTGAGGGGGTGTGTTCAACAGGCCCCTCAGTGGCTCCCTGGGTGTGCACGGGGACTTGGAGAAGGAGATACGCAGGAGATGAGCAGGGCTCCCACACAGGGCCAGGGGCTCTGCAGACCGCCAGGAGGAGCGGCTGTCACACAATCAGGGAACGAGGCCTCCGTGGGCAGCAGGCTCTGATGGCCTCCACACGCTTACACGCTTCTAGCCTCACAGCCATGCCACAAAGTTCACACCGATGGTTGACCAGCAGTCAGTGACGTGTCAGGGTGCAGGGATGTAGCTGTGGAAACAAACACACACAGAAACACACAAACACACCCCACACACAGACACCCCTCATAAATACACACATACACCCCTCACAAATATACACACCCCACACATACAGATACCACAAATACACAGACATGCATCCCACAAGCTTACAGATACACACAGACACCCCTCACAAACACACTCCCCCCACACACACATACAGACACCACACACAAATACACACACCACACACACATACAGACACCACACACAAATATATACACAATCGACACATACATACAGACACCACACACAAATACACATACATACATCCTACACGCTTACAGATACACATACAAAGAGACAGCCCTCACAAATACACACATACACACCCCCACACACACACCACTGTGTCAGTTCATCTCATCAAGGCATCTCCTTTCATTCTGCCCTCTCCGAGGCCGGTCCCTCCTGACATGCCGGAAGGATGTGAGGCGAAACCTCACCACCCTTGCCTCCAAGGAGCATCCTGGTTTGTACTTGGTCCAAGACAGATGTCTGTTCTCTTGGCAGACCCTCAGGGATTCAATATCCTAGGTAAACACCACAATTCAAAGGCATCGATTCTTTGGGCTTCCTTATCCATTGCTCAGCTTTCACATACATATGAAGCAAGTGAAAATTCGCATGGCTTGGGTCATGAGAGTATAAAGCAACTCTAATGGTGACATAAAAATATGCTGTGGGACCCAAGAAAAGGGGCATTCAGGTCCATGCGGAATCATTTCAGAGAGGGCATTTCCTAGAGACCCTGTGAGGCTTCAGCTAGGTAGCCCGGATGCCGCAGTGGACACTGGTGTGCCTTCAGCTGCACCACTTGTCCACAGTGCATCTGCTGTACGGCGTGGCCCCTGGCTCGAGCTCCCTGCTCAACACACCCCATCTGTGCTATTATACCTGGTCATTAATGACAGCTTCTTGGCTCACCAGACAAAAGTGACAGGAATTCTTCTCTTTGTATAATCTGGGGGAAAGGTGGTTTGTTTTCATTAACTGCTCATCTAACTCCATCTCGGGATGGGAATACAGGAAGGAGGAGAAGTTGCTGTGCTCACTTGTAAGCGGGGTGAACTGGCTGCACTGTGCTGTAAATGCACTCTCATTTCTCATCCACAAGGGAGCCTTCCCACGTGGCTGGGGGTGACGACAGCAGAGCTGAGAGTGAGGAGACCTCGGGGCGGCCCGTGCTCTGCGGCCCTGGACAGGCCAGTCTCCTGGTCCATAAAGCAAGCCCTGGTGGTGCAAGGATTAAGTGCTCGGCTTAAGTGCAAAGGTGGCAGTTCAAACCCACCAACTCCACAGATAAAGGGCTGCCATCTGGTCCTGGAGACAGGATAGCTGAGAGACGTCACAGGCAGCTTCTCTGTCACATGGGTCACTATGAGTTGGAACTGACCCAACAGCCAAGTAACAATGTCCAAAAACTGAGCTGAGTCTCTAGTGCAGCTTCCAGGGTCCCTCCTGACATCCTTTTGGTTTTCTCTCCTGTCTGCTGCTGTTGTTGTGTACGGCCAGGCGATCAGTGCCACCAAAATGTGCACACACGAATGCTTGAACTGGTGTAGGTTGTGCTGTGACTCAGCAGCAGTAACAACGGTTACAGCGAAGTGATGTCCACAAACAGGTCAATGGGTAAACACACATGCGGCGGAATACTACGCAACACTCAAGCACAAGGATTCCTGAACACTGATGAAACGGATGAGCCTTGAGGCCATTATGCTGAGAGAAAGAAACATGTCAGACACAAAGGACAAATGCTGTCAAAGCTAAAGGAAACTATATAAACAGAAGAAAACATTCATTGATGGTCGCTGAGCATGGGAGAAGAGGAGAAGGGAAAAACCAGTGACTGAACAACAGACACACAGCAAGTTGGCTATTGAAGGGAAGGGTGATAGCAAGGTGCTATTAAGAAAAAGAATACACAACTGTGCAAGAATTACAGCCAACAACAGGGTTCACAGCCCTAACACTTCACAGTAATAGGATACACAGGCCAACAGGCATGCGAAAGGGAACACGCCCTGACCACACGCAGGTTCACACACAGATGATGGTCCAGCATGAGCATCTGTATGGCTGTGCATAAACCCATGGCAACAGGAGAGAAATGGGCACAACTGTGCAAGCCTCTTAACTCAATTAAAAAGAAAGATAACCATTTGTGGGCGTAACCCTGCCTCCAAGGCCTACCTTTGGTGGTGAGAATCTTTGAGGTAACTTCCAGGTTCTCCAAAGGTTCGGTCCCTATGTTCTCTAACTTAATGACAAGTTGCTGGGTTTCTCCATTGTAAAGCTGGACAGACACATTTGTAGACACCTCATCACCTGAGGAGGGCTGCAGTGAGTGTGCAGACCTAAAACATCAGAAATTGTACTCGTCACAAAAAGATAAATAGGACAAAATCACAGAAAGCAAGAACAGAGACAATAAATGGCATTTTAGAAATATTCGTCTCAAATAAAAGAGGGATTTTATTTCAGTATTTCAGAACTGCCCATTTCTAACTGTCCAGTTTATTTTTTTTATTTTGTACTGACTTACTTCCAAAGTTCATATACA